CAAAACCATGGAATTCCCTCCCTAAGGGGATTGTGGAGAATGCACAGCAGGTGGACTGCAGCAGTTCAAGAAGGCAGCTCATCACCACTTTCTCAAGAGCAAAAAGGGATGAGCAATTAATGCTGACCAGCCAGCAATGCCCACTGCTCACAAATGAATAAATTAAAACGTTATTTTTGAAGTATTTGAATGGCGCCAGATTGTGATGACAGTTGAAGCTTTTCACCGTGTTTTACTGTATTGTTCATTGTAGAGTACAAGTGACCATAAATCAACATTCATCCACTTATTCAATAGACAAGCTCCCAAAATCAATGAAAAGAAATGATCAGATAAGCTGTTTTCAGTGATTGAGCAGAAACTTCCTCCAATTAAATGCCAGGAAGACTGGAGCCATTTTTTTTTCAGTTGCTGCTCCAACACTGATGTGATTAAATCAGTTTGTTAGCCACTTTGGATTCATATTGGACCCAGAGATGAGCAATCAAACTGACATTTGTGCCATCAAGACCTGCCTATATCCACTCGGTAACATTATCTGACCTTTCCCCAATCTCAGTTCACCAAATGCTGAAACCTTCTTTTATGCCTACGTTCTCTACACTCTCAGCCCACAAACCTGCAAGATGCCTACTTTCCTCCAATTCTAACCTCTTGAGCATCCCCAGTTTTTGTTATTCCATCATTGGAAGCCATCCCTTCAGTTGTCTATACCCCACACTCTGGAATTCCCTCATTATACCTACATTTCATTCTTTAAGATACTCCTTAAAGTCTACCTGTAAAACACTTAGTTCATCTGACTTTACAATGGCTCAATGCCATATTTAATTTTATAATGCTCATGTGAATCTCCCTGGGCCATTTTCTTTTACAGTAAAGGCATCATATAAATATACTTGTCATCCCTTCTTCGCCTGGACAAGGGAGTGAGCTCTTCACTGTTCAGAATAGTGCCATGAAACTGTTAACAACAGCTGGAGAGAAAGGGCGACACCTCTATTTATTGTTTCATCCAAAAGGTGACGGCTGCAGCAGTGTAGCAACCCTTTAATAATGCACAAAAAATAAAGTCAATCTTCTTATCACAGTGTTTGCTCAATTCTGACATGGGACTTGAACCCACAATACTCTGGTTTTGAGGTGGACAAGCTATCACAGAACCACAGCTGTTACAACATACACCAAGAGTTAATAAATATGGAGTTGGAACAGCACAGCAGGATTGCTAGCAACCAAGAAGGGAAAGTCAAGCCAAAACCGGACTTCCCTTCTCCTCGGATGCTGTCTGACTTGCTGTGCTCTTCCAGCTCCACACTTATTGACTCTAGCTTCCAGAATCTGCAGTCCTTACTGTCTCCACAACATACACCAATACTTTCACCAAAACATCTACTTTCCAGAACTCTGAGGGAAAACTGTATGCTGTCAGTAGCACCATCTTAATGAAATGATGTGTGCTTCAGATGGGAACTTGCTGGGAATAGCGTTCCCATGTACATCCTGCCCTTATCCTTGTGGATGGGAGAGGTCAAAGGCTTGGACTGTGTCATCAGAAGAGCCTTGAACAGTTTCTGAAATCCTTCTGACTAATTTTTTCAGTTTGTACAAAAATGATGGGCAGAATGTCCACCTTCTGTGCTGCAAATTTTCTGTAGTTCTTTCTTGTAGGTTATACATACTGCTGCATTGGTGTAGATCACATGCCATTTAATTGGATGGTGCTGAACTTCGACTGCTGTTGGGGCTGCACTCATTCAGGCAAGTGGAAAATAATCCACCATCCTTCTGAGTGGGACATTGCAAATGGTGGACAGGCTATTGGAAGTCAAGTGGTAAGTTGAGGAGGTTTTGAGGTTATTCTGTTGTTAATGCAGGGTCTGATGGTCATCATCATCACCATCACCTTCAGGTGCAGTTGTGGTTGCAGGGTTAGGGCAAAAAATAGTTAATCCAAAGAGGATGGCGTGGTTCATTGTCTTCTGACTGTTTCTTGGGTGTTAACTTAAAAAAGACATCCAGTTTTTGCTGCTTTGCCCTTTTTCCTTTCTCATGAAGAAGCTGTTCATAGGGTGCCAAATAAGATCTTATTCCACAAACTGCTTCCCTGCTGTGTTCTGTATTGCAATCATTATCCTCTAAGAGCTGCAAATCTTTCTCAATTTCCCTCTGGATAGAAGACAAAACAGAAGTGGAAAACTCTCATGATGCTGCATCCTGGACGTCTTCATCTTCCTTTCCAGCTTCCACTTGCCCCTCAGCGACAATTTATGGTAGATCAGCTGTGGAAAGGTCTTCACACTGGGACTCAAGGAGCTCTTCAACATCCTCACTCTCCACTTCTTCATATACAATTTGCTTTGCAAGATCAACACAATGTTCTTTGATTCTTGGGAGCTCCTCTAATGGATCAAAGCCTTTAAAATCTTGAAAAAAATCTGGGAGAAGCTTCCACCAAACTGCATGCAAGCAGTCCTTACTGACAGCACCCCAGGCTTCCATGATAATGTCAATTGCATTCTTGATGTTAAACCTCTTCAAAAATTGAAGAACACTGTCCTTATCCCCCTCAGTGGCTGTAATCAGCCTCCTAAATGTGCGCCTTAAATAATAAGCTTTAAAAACTGCTATTGCACCCTGGTCCATGGGTTGAAGGAGAGAGGTTGTGTTAGGGATAGAAATAGCAATTCGATATTTTCAGAAAGCTCACCAATGGTGGGAGGATGGATTGGCACATTATCCAGGGTGAGGGGAATCTTGAAATAGAAATTCTTTCTCCTGCAATACTTTCTAAAAACATCTTCCAAAACATCAACAATAAGGTCAGAAAAAAAATTGCCCTGTCATCTAACCTCTTTTGCTTGACCTAAAGTAGACACTAGACTTAAGGTAACCTTTCAAGGCTCGAGGGTCGGCAGAGTGATACACCACCACAGGCTTAAGCTTTAAGTCACCACTGGCATTGGCACTCAGCAGCACAGTCATACGATTCTTTGCCACCTTAAAGCTGGAGCATGTGCTTCATTCATAGATATGTAGGTTCTTGATGGCATCCACTTCCAGTACAACCTGTCTCATCCAAATTGAAAATTTGATCTAAGTTGCAGCCTTCTTCATCAATTTTTTTTTATTATGTGAGGAAATGCCATCACATGTTCCTCATCTGCACAGGCAGCTTCGCCACATAACTTGATGTTATGAAAAGCGTAGTGATTTGTAAAACCAGCCACTGCTAGCACGAAAGGCAGGCGTATCTGCAGGATTTTCAACTTTCTTTGTTAGATCTTCATAAATTGATAAGGCTTTCTCTTTTATGGTGAGAAAGGTGGTCCCAGATCACTTTTTCATTTGATCTTCTATCCACACACTTAGAAGCTGCTCCATGTCTGGTTCCTTTGTCTGCGACATCACAGATTTGCTACCACTCAGACTCGTTCCAGCAATACAGTTTGCTTTAATCTTTTCTGTATTCTCTCTAATGATGCTTAAGGTAGATTCCTTTATTCCTGTTATACAAACTATACCACATGTTCTCTCAATTCGCTCAAAATGCTTTATAACATCTAGCTTCTCTTCCAGTATTATAGTCTTTTACGTTCACCATTCACAATTTTATCACTCAGTCGCTTCTTACTAACATTCTTGGCACTTTGTCCTCGCATTTTTGTGGGTAACACAGCAGAATTTGCAAAAAAAAAAACCCCAAAAATCATGGAGTACTGCACCTCTCACAGAAAGCACTTCACAACAAAGCCTCTGAAAGGATCACATGATGTCGGTGCAGAGACTCTTTCGATGCTAACATTGCGCGTGCTCAGGACAAAGCCCATGAAGCGATCATGTGATGTCCACACATACTCCTCCGCACACCGATGAAATCACGTTATAGCCAACACAAGTTGGCGTTTTAGAAATAGCGTTCCTTTATACGTCAGTTGCGTTATAGCCAATCCACGTTGCTGGAACAAGCGTTATAGCAGAACCGACTGTAGAAATTGCTGGGAACACCCAGCAGCTCCGATTGCATCTGTGGGATGAAAGCACAGTTAAGGTGACAAGTCCAGTGACTCTTCATCAGAAGACTTTCTTTTAGCTGCTTCTCTCTACTGTTTTCCTCTGCCTTGCTGACAGAGCGATTGAAGAACACAGGAACATGTAGAGGCCATTCAGCCTCTCGCCATTGTGAAATCATGGCTGATCTGTCACCTAACTCCATATATATCTGTTTTTAGCCCATAGCCCTTAATATCTTTGCTTACCAAAAATATCAGTTAAATTATTTACACATTCCATTATATCACTATGTTTAAAATATTATAGGAATGTTAGTTAACCTGCACTCACAGTCTGAGGAGGGACATGCTTGTTATTGAGAGAGTCCACCAAGCGAAGATTCACCAGACTGATTCCCGGGATGGCAAGACTGACATATGAGGAAAGATTGGATCAACTGGGCTTGTATTCACTGGAATTTAGAAGAATGAGGGCAGATCTCAGAAATATTTAAAACCCTGATGGAACTGGCCAGATGCAGGAAGAATGTTCCCAAGGTTAGGGAAATCCAAAACTAGGGGTCACAGTCTAAGAATAAGGGGTAAGCCATTCAGGACTGAGACGAGGAAGAATTTCTTCACTCAGAGTTGTGAACCAGTGGAATTCTCTCCTACAGGAAGCTGTTGGGGCCAGTTGATTAGATATACTCAAGAGGGAGCTGGACATGGCCCTTGTGGCTAAAGGGATCAAGAGGTATGGGGAGAGGGTGTGAGGGAATGGGATACAGAGATTGCATGATTAGTCATGATCGGATTGAATGTGGTGTAGGCTTGAAGGGCCAAATGGCCTATTCCTGTTTTCTATGTTTCCATGTAACAAGGCACAATGTGAATGTTACAGTTTTGTATTTCCAAGACTTACTATTGAAATCATCAAGAACAAATGTAATGAAAATGAGGGCATGCTAGCAAGAGTGTGAGAGAAAGACGAGAGCACACACTAGTGAATATGAGAGGAAGAGTTTACTTTTCTCTCTGGCTCTTAGAGAATGTTTAATTTTACTTAGAAATGACTTAAACAGAACATAAAATACACACAAATACAACAGTTATGTTTTATTTAAACGCGTAAAATTAGCATACCATTTCAATGAGACATTTGCTAGCGTCAAATTCTCAAGGTACTGCAGCTAAATCATGACAAATACACATTTTTACTTTGAAATAAATATGTTGAACTAAAGTTGGTTTAAGATGGCCACAAAAAGACAATTTACAGTCATTACTGTAGGAATACAGCACTTCAGAAAAATGTTTACTTTTTCAGTTTAATGTGATCACTAATATGCTACACAATCCCAAATACTTTACCAGTACCATTATTATTTAAGTTATAAAGACGTTTTTCCCCAGAAGATTACACAGAAGAGCAGCACCTTTCAAGTGGTTCAAAGCTCCAAAGGAAATGCGGACCTCAAGAGTTACAGGAACTCTGTTTAACGAAACCTTGTGCAGCATTTTCAATTTAATGTCATTTCATGAATGGAGCCTGAAGTTTTGCTAAGCGTTGCAAGATCCAACTTAATGTTGATCAAATTGTGTAATACCTGACCTGATTGATACAAAAACCTGCCAGCTTCCTCTCACTGATCCAACATTTGAAAGCCACAATCCAACACAGCAGCCTGGAGACAATAAGGACTGCAGAGTCCAAAGGTGAGAGGCTGGAAAAGAACAGCAGGATAGACAGCATCAGAGAAGCAAGAAAGTCCACGTTTCAGGCCTGACGAAGGGTCTTGGTCCAAAATGTTGACTTTCCTGCTCCTCTGATGCTGCCTAGCCTGCTATGCTTTTCCAGCCTCACACCTATAGACACTGACCACCACAGGAGCGTCACAGCCTTGGCCAGCACCCAGAAAGCACAGCTCGGGGTGGGGGGGAACCAACAAGCCCCTGCTAAAACCAACACCCCTCTGGTCAGATCAAGGAGGAGGGGAAAGCCCGTACCCCACAGTCAGCCAAGAGGCACAGCCCCACCGGTTGGCAGCCCAAGTGAACCTCAGAGGTGGTGGTGACCTACAAAAACGGGCACTGCAGCCCCCAAAATGATGGCACCAGACAGTGGCCCGACGTGCCCAGGAACAAACAACAGTGGCACGTGGCCCAGAGTCCAGTGAGCATATGGCCTCTCCCAGGACAAAGACCCCATGCAGCAATGCCCTGGTCTGCACTCTTGGAGGATCCACTACAGGAGATTCTGTAAGTACTGAAATGTTGTGTACAACATGTTGAAATACAACATTTCATTTTAATGTATAAAAAATGTATTTTAATAGTTATTTATTTACCAATACAGGCATTTAGCTCTTTAAATTACATGTACGAGTACAGGACATAACTCCAGTTGTAACATTGGTTCACTTAAACGTTTCATTTAAAGTCATGATTTTTCAACAACACAACCACAACTTTAAGTGAGGGCTTCCTATTTCTAAAGAAACAAATGTAAACATTTATTGAGGAAGATTATTGTTATTATTTCATTTGTTTCAAGGACAAGCAATCAGAAATCTTTTCTTCCCAGGCCAGAAAAATACCATTGAACTGCAGAAACCTGTCTCTTTCCTCGACAATAATATTGCATCTAAATCAACAGCTGTCTCTACTGCTTTAGAGTTTACTTCAGTTCTTCATATGACACTTGCAGTTCTTGCTCACACACACTTCAACCTCTTCCTATTTTGCTTCCAGTCTGAGGTTCTACAGCTCTTTTTGATTCATTTATTGTCTTTCAATTAAACCATTTAAACTGCTCCACGTTATTCTGTCTCACCCACAGCACTAACTCTATCTACTGCCACATTTGCTTGCCCAAATCATTAAACCGAAGGGCAGAAGAACAAAAAAAAGAGATTTAATAGGATGGTATTAAACATGGTTACGGTACCTCAATAAACCAACTTTAATTACAAAAGGAATAGATGATCTCTGTGAAGTACAAATTTAACTATACTATCCAAAATTACTAAAACCTGAATTAAAGCTTGATGAAAGTAACCTTGACATGAAGCATTAACTAGGTTCCTCTGTCTGTGGATGCTGCCAGACCTGCTAAGTATTTTCAGCATTTTCTGCTTTTAATTCTGATTTCCAGCATCTGTAGTATTTTGTTTGTGTTGCTGAAATAAAGTGTACCTTCTTCCAATTTGCATTGTATTGCTGCTGAGTACATAAGAACGAATTACGAAACACAAAGAGGAATACACTATACACAAGGAAGAATACATTAGTGCATGTGACATATTTGGATCTATTGGAGACTTTTGAAAATTCCAAACAGGAGATTAGTTGAGCACATGGGATAAGGAGTAATATACTGCCATGGATTTGAGGTGATATACAGGCATGGTTAGGATGTAATATACTGGGTTGGGTTGAGGTTACTTCGTGCGAAAACAGCTTAGAATAAATGGTTCAGTATCTGGTTGGCAGGCTGTACCTAGTGCAGTATCACAAGGATCTGAGCATGGGCACTCAGATGGATATTGGGACCAAGTGTAATATTTCCAAGTCTGCAGATGGCACAAAACTGGTGAGGAATGTATATTGTGAGAATTATGCAAACAGGCTTTAAGGGATTTAGACAGGCTGAGTAAGTGGGCAAGACACACCAGGTGAAATACAGCGTGGATCGACGTTAGGTTATCCACTTCGGTAGGAGGGACATGCAGAGTATTTCTTAAATGTTGAGAGATTGGAAAGTGTCGATGTTCAAAGTGATCTGGGTGTCCTTGTACATGAAATCTAACATGCAGGCATTGCAAGCATTTATGAAGGCAATTGGTGCATTGGACATTACCACAAGACAAGTTGAGTACAGAAGTAAAGATTTCTTTCTTCAACTGTACAGAACCTCGGTGAGATTGAATCTGGAGTACTTTGTGCAGTTCTTGTTCTTGTACCTAAGGAAGGATGCACTTGCCACAGAGGGCGAATAATGGAGGCTTACTGGAATGAATACGGAGACAGTGGAACTGTCCGATTGAGAGAGACCAAGGAGATTGGACCTTTATTCTCTGGAATATACAAGAATGAGAAGTGATAGCATGGAAAACTACAAAATTCTTAAAGGACTCAGCAGGATAGATGCAGGAAGGGTGTTGCTGCACCGGTTGGTGGAGAGCTTCAAGAAACAGGGTGCACAGTCGCAGAACTGAGACGGGGCAGAATTTCTTTGCTCAAAATCTTTGGAATTCTCTACTCCAAATGACTGTGAAAGTTCAATCATTGTGTATGTTCGAGACAAAAACTGGTAAATTTTTCATTTCTCATATCAAGAGATTTGGGAAAAGCACATGAACATGGCATTGAGGTAGATGATCAGCCATGATCTTGACTGACAGAGCAGGCTCAAGGGACTGTGTGATCTACTCCTGCTCCTATTTTTCTATGTTAGCATTTAGACAGAATTTCAGAGTAAAGTAAATCCCCAGCATATAAACAGAAAAGATGTATTCAACTCTACTCTGATGCATCAATTTTTAAAGATTTTTTCTAAAACTGATAAAATATTCCCCTCACCCATTCCATCTGTAGATATTCTTGGGGAGCTTCGAAGTCCACCTGAGTTCAACAGCTAGGCTGGACTGATATCTGACAAATTAAAACCAACCCATTATTAAAATTTACGTTTAAAGCAAATATAGGATGTACTTGAAAAATATCCTGTAATTTAGTTCCACAATCCTGAATTTAGGATCATTCGTTTGCATTAGGAATCCTGTGAAATTCAACAGCAATTTACTCATTTCTGTATCTCAACCCAAAACGCTACACAGTCCAAACACCAGCCCTCCTCAACAGATCACTAACAGTCAAAATTTAAGTACATATAAATAATATATTTGTATACATGAGATATATAAATATATATCACAAAACAATTTATAAATGTTGTTAGTGTATGTAAGTCAGCAAGTATATTACAACAAGCCCAGCTAGAAATGAAGTTGGTTGCCATGACTGAAGGTATGTGAAAAATGAAGGGCAGTATTACACCTCCTCAATCCGTTGTAGCAGTGATACATAGTAGAAACCATACAAACCGATTCCAGGTATCAGATAAAACCTACAAATTATTGCCAAACTCCAAGTGAAATGGTAGGTGTTGAAGTACCCTTTGTTAAACTTTGATCTGTCCACAACAGCCTTCAAACAGCACCAGGAAGTCATCCTTTGAATCCTTTTAGTGCAGTAGCTCAGGCTGGATGCCAATTTTCCGTAGGGTATCCTCTGGCATGCAAAACACTGGGTTAACTGGCTTTATCCGCTGATCTCCCATCAGGGACAGGCCGGCCACTCCAAACAAAGTGTGAAAGGGATCAACCTAGCAACATTAAAAATAAACTATAATTGTGATTCAAGGAAACTTATTTATAAAGATACATTGTCCAATAATTGTCCTCATATGTGACTTAGTAATAATTCTTTGCATTCTTCCATTTAAAAAAAAAGACTCACCTGCTCAGAGAGTCATTGACCAGTTGTGTTGGAAATAAATACTTATATTTGTGGACTGATAAAAAACTGGAAAGTATGGAACTGTTTGGACATTTTCCAGATGAAAAGGGTTTCTTGGAAATAAAGTCAACAATTTAATATATACGGTGGTTAACCTGCTGCTTCAGAAAGTGACTCTGGAGAAAAGACAAGCAAAGATTTTAGGCTGGAGGTGTTAAGAGATGGGGTTTATGGCCCTTAACTGCTGGAAAACCTAGGTTTGAAAAGACAGGGAGGCCTCTATGTTGATGGTTGTCTAGCAGCTGTTTCTGGATTTAGTTTTCTACTTTCATAGACCTTAGTAGTCAGGAAGAAAACCTCAGGAGCTCCTAATCTGCCTCTCTTGCAGCAGAGCATGATAAAATTTTCAAGTAACAGCATTTCTGACTACCTTATAATGCTGAAAAGCTGAACTGTGACCATATCGGATCCAAGATAACAAGGTGTAGAGCTGGATGAACACAGTAGGCCAAGCAGCATCAGAGGAGCAGGATGGCTAACGTTTCGGGCATAGACCCTTCTTCAGAAATGGGGGAGGGGAAGCGGGTTCTATCGGATCCAGCTTGATTTAAATCTGAACTGAAGATTTCCAGGCTAAGAATGTCAGCAATTCAATTTTGTCAATAAGAAATCTGGTGAACTAAGAAAAAAGTCATTAAATCCTCTTCCTTGTTATTTGAATTTCAAGGCCAAAGGGAGTGTTTTTCTATTTTGTCTTTCTTTTAAAATATCATCTCCGCTGAGATCAGTACCTTTTGCATTGTGAGTGTGTATTTGTGTTTGGGATTAAGAAGCTATAGTTCTAACTCCAGATTCTAGTTTATTTGTTAACCAGTGTTCATCACTTGTTTTAAGAATAAGTTTTCTGTCATAATTATCAAACTCTATTGCATTCATTGAAAGAGCCGTGTAAAAGTTACTTTCATTCTGGATAGTGGTACAAAAGGGAATCAATGAGCAATTTTGGAGTTTAAATCAACACAGTTTATACTAATGATGCAGCTGGCAGAGTACATGGGTTTGATTACCAGTGCATTCCTCCCATCAGTCGTAACATTTGCTCCATTCACGATTCCACAGATACTGAAGCAGTCTGGCCCATATGAGTCAACATCTGAATTACATCCAGGCTTGTATTGATAACTGGTAAGGCACATTTATGTCACACAATTGCCAGACAATGGCCAACTTCAACAAATGAAAGATTAATCAACACCCCGTGACATTCAATAGTGACTGGATCATCACTATCAACATCCTGGAGGTTACCAATAGTTAGAAGGATGTTGCCTGGACTGGAGGGCAGGTCTTACGAGGATAGGCTGAGGGAGCTAGGGCTTTCTTCATTGGAGCAAAGAAGGGTGAGAGGTGACTTGTCAGAGGTGTACAAGATGATGAGACATATAGATAGAGTGGATAGCCAGAGACTTTTTCCCCAGGGAGGAAATGACTGTTACGAGGGGGCATAATTTTAAGGTGATTGGAGGAAGATATAGGGGAGATGTCAGAGGTAGGTTCTTTATACAGAGTGCTGGGTGTGTGGAATGCGCTGCCAGCAGTGGTAGTGGAGTCAGAGACTTCAGAGACTTTTAAGCGACTCTTGGATAGACACATGGGGGATAGTAAAATGTAGGGTACGCAGGTTAGTTTGATCTTAGTAGGATATAGGTCAGCACAACATTGTGGGCTGAAGGGCCTGTACTGTTCTATGCTCTTCTATGTTCAAGAAGCTGAAGTGGACCAGCCGCATAAATATTGTGGCTATAACAGCAGGTCGGAGGCTAGGAATACTATGGTATCTTACCTCCTGACTCCCTAGAACCTGCCTAATATCTGAAATGTACAAATGGAGTGTGAAGGAATACTCTCAATTTGCCAGGATGAGTGTATTTCCAACAATATCCAAAGTTAAACTCCATTAACAACCCATTCATCTCTTTAAAAATTCACTCAATTCACCACTGACACACAGTAACAGCAGTGTGTACTATCTGATAGATGCATTGCAACTCGTCAAGGCTTCTTCAACAGCATTTTCCAAACCCACAACCTCTATCATCTAGAAGAACACTGGCAGCTCATACATGGGAGTACAGTCTCTTGCAAGTTCTCCTCCAAACCAGTCATCAATTTGACTTAGAAATTTATCATTGTTCATCCACAGGGTCAAAATTCTGGAACTCTTCCCTTAACAGCACTGTGGGTGTACCCCAAGACAGTGATTTTAAAAAAGACAGCTCATCACTATCTTCTCAAGGGCAATTAGGGATGGGCAACAAATGCTGTCTTAACCAGTGACCCTCACATCTCAAACTAATTTAAAAGATGCAAGTAACTTACGTGACTTGCAACCGAACCCTCTGCATATAGCAGCCCTCCAAACATAAGCTTCAAATCACAATAATTGGACCTCCCAGCCACTTACCACATCTCCAGGCCGGTCTGCAAACCCACCAGTTTCCTCATCCTGACAGGCCAAAATGAAACGGCTCAATTTATCTTTGTCAATCCAGTGTAGTCGCCCAATGATTTTCAGAGAGGCCAGCACCCACCATGAATAACAAACATCTGGTAACTGTGAAAAGGTCAGGAGGCACAGAAATCAAGAACTGCAGCTTTCATTCAATTTTCAAAACACACTTATCACGTCAGCATATTTAATAACTAAAACTTGGGCTAAAGACTCTATAAATTCGTGAGGACTACAATCACCAGGGTGGACTAGTTAGCCTGAAGGTCCTGCTTCTGGGATAGATATTCAAAATAATTTTGTCACACAATAAGTGTGGATTGTTCATTTGAAATGCTGACTTAACTTTCATAAATAATTCTTTTCAAAGCAGTGGGTAATAAGTTTGAGGTGGAGGAGGAGAAAGAAACTTCATTGAATCATTTATTGTCATGTGTATTCAATATTAAAATACAGTGAAAAGTATGTAATTTCGCCATACATTTTTACTAACTTAGAATAAGATAATCATAAGAGAGTCTAACTTTCCTTTCTACTGCCACAGTCCTGCTCTGGGCTTTCCAGCACTCGTCATGCCTTTGCCAGAATTTCCCTATGGACCTTCCAGCCGTTGCCATGCCCCAGCCAGAGTCCCACTTTGGGCTTTCCAGCCCTGCCATGCCTCTGCCAACATCGTCCTGCTCTGGGCTGCCTCACTGGCCCGGCCTTGCCACTGCTGCTTCACTGACCCGCTCTTTGAGGTCAGTAATACAAGATATTTATGGTGTCTCAGCTACAGATTAAACATTCCTGACTTTTGCTGCTAACATTTAGTAAAGCATCTGGTATTTGTGAATATGGATCTGAAATATTTAACGCAGCCATCAACGAATTGTTTTAGGAAAAAAGCAAAGCGCAAATCTGTAAGTCCCAGGAAATTAAAGAAATGACAATGAAGGAACAGCCAAAATGTGTTCAAGTTGGAATGCAGTTACAGCACTGGAGATATTGGTGCTCTGTTGCATCTATTGCCCTTCTGGATGCTAGAGGCTGAGGGTTATACGGTGCTGCGGAATGAGACTTGGCAAGGTGCTGCAGAATACCGTCCATCCACTCTGATACATGTCCTTTGTAATGTAACAAAGCATACCAAGTGGCAAAAATGATCACAAACCCAAAGATGTGCAGGTTAGGTGGAATGGCCACGCTAAAATTATCCATAGTGTCAAGGGATGTGTAGGTTAGGTGGGTTAGCCATGGGAGATGCAGGGTTACAGGTGGGGATCTGGGTGGGATGGCCTTCGGAGGGTCGTTGTGGACTCAATGAGTCGAATTGCCTGCTTCTACACTGTAGGGATTCTATGAAACCCACAAATTGAATTAAATATACTCAGTTTGACTGTTCACAAACTAGCCAATTGATTTATGTCAAGCACAAAAGCGAATCTGGTTCTAACAATAAGAAATGAGTGCGCGTATCGTTTAGCAATCACTGCATTTCAACACCTACAGAGAATGAAAACATTGACTGGATTCAAGAGAAATCTTATCCACCAAATCCATTCAGAATTTATTTTTTTTTTTAAAAAGAGGTGTTACCAGATGAATAACTAAATTAGATAGGTATCTATGGATTTTCAAAAGGCATTTCATCAGGTTCCATGTGAAAGCTTGTTGCACAAGAGTTCATGGGGTGAGAGATATTAGCACAGAAAGAGAATTGGCTCAATGACACAAAGAGAAGAGGAACAAATGGATGATTTTCAGATTGAAGTCTGTAACAAGTGGACTGTTGCAAGATTCAGTGCTGGAGCATCAGCTACTTACAAAATACATTAATGACTTCGATGAGGTCACTGAAGAGCATTCATCTTTGCTGAATATACAAAGCAAAGAAAAGAGGCTGAGGACAATGTATGAATCTACAAAAGGATATACAGAAAGGTTAAGTGAGTGGGGAAGAAGGCAGCAGATAAAGTAAAATGTGGCAAACTAGAAGCCATTCAAATATGATAGAAAGAATAGAAAAGCTGAATATGTTTAAACTGAGAGAAACTGATGTTCAGAGGGATTTGGGTAGTCTTGTACAATAAACACCAAGTTAACACAGAGGTACATGGTATTTTGATCTTTATTAAGGGGTTGGAAGAAGAGTAAGGGAACGGTGCTGCCATTGTACAGGAAATTGGTGAGATTGAACATGGATCACTGTACATTGTGTAGATTCCAATAAAGATGAACATACTGGTCTTAGGAGGAGTTGTTACACACATTCACTAAATTAATAACAAAACCAGAAAGTGCTGGAGAATCTGTAGGGAGAAAACAGAGTAACGTTTCAAATCCAATATGACTTTTCTTCAGAATCCTATTCCAAAGAACGGTCATAACTGACTCAAAACATTAATTTTGTTTTTCTCTCCATATAAAGTGTTGCCAGTTCTGCTGAGTTCCTCCAGCACTATGTTTTTATATTTCAGATTTCCAGCATCTGCAGTATTTTGCTTTTACTTTACTAGGTTAATTCCTGTGCTGAGGGGGTCACTGAGTAAATGTTGGGTATGTTCGCTCTATATCCTCTGGAGTTTAGCAGAATGGAAGGTGATTTAAATGAAACTTACAAGATTTTGATGAGATTCAACAGGGTAGACACAGATAGGCAATTTTCCTTGGTTGAAGAGTCTGGAATTAGGGTAATATTATAGACATATTGCAAGTATACCTTGGAACCACATGCTCTTTTGTTATAACCACTAATTGGTGTGCAACTGGAGTCACATTTTGTGAAAGGCTGAAGTTGTGAAAGACACTGTGAAAATTAGAATTTTTTTTAAATAGTGGAGAGAATCAAGTAATTTGTATGCAATAACTAATCAACGATTATTTTTATGTCATAAGACTCTGCAAGAGAAAACAATCAACTGTGCATGGATTTGATTTAACTTAAAAAAAAACGTTTATTTGACAAATACCTTCTCAGGTCGTCCATTGAGGCCCCCAGATGGTAACTGCCGCTCACACAACCACCAACCCAGCAAGTCAGCATTAACCTGGTGCAACTGGCCTGTAATAGCCAGAAACCCCGTGCAGCAATATATCTAGACAGGAGCATGGAAAAGTCCGTTGGTTAAAACTCTTGCCACAATTCATGCCTCGGACAAAAATTCTACACTATGCAGTCGCAGAAAGGATGGAAAGTGGAAAAATATTTCTACAGCACAGCCAAAACTTGCTCAGATATTTCCTCATTAATTACTAGGCTTATATGAAAATTTGATGGGAACATGGATTCAACATGCAAAGGAATTTCTGCCTTGAAACAGTAGCTGCTGGAGAAACAGTGAAACCATCAACTGATTGCTTTGATTCCAGATCCTTCTTCAGGGCTTGGTTCCCTAGACAAATTCACATTTGGGTAGCTGGAAGCTGCATTAGTGTCAATTATGGAGCATTGAGTAGGATTCTCATTTCTGAGTCAGAAGATTAGGTTCAAATCTCACTCCAGAAATTTAATAACAAAATCCAGGCAAACAGTGAATGTTTTAGTACTCTGAGGCAACACTGTGTTATCAGAGACAAAGACTGAGAACACTGGAAAAACATAGCTGACCCGGCAGCATTTGTGACGAAATGAGATAGGAGGCATTCAGGAAGGCATTGGAAGATTATTTAGATAGAAATGATTGTGAAAACGGTACAGGGAAAAGGTAGGAGATTGGCATTAGGTAGAGTCAGTACAGGCATAATGGGTTGAACAGCCTCTTTCTGTGCTATGACAATTCTGCGATCTGTCACCAGAGATGCTGCCAGACCCACTGAGTTTCTCCAGCATTGTGTTGTTTCAGATATCCAGCATTTGCAGATTATTCCTTTATTCAACTTCTGAGAGGGCTGAGGTAAAAGATCCTGTTGTAATATTTTGAACAAGAGCCAGAGGGCGTTTTCCCGACCCTGGCCAATGCTTACATACCAATGAACGTCGAGATATCTGATAACATATGACAGACTATCATACTGATGTATGTGGGACTTTGTTGTGTGAAAACTGGCTGCTGTTTTTTCCAGTGTTAGGACATTAACAACCTTTCAAAAAGTAATTTAAACAAAACTCTTCCAAGGTGGTAAAAGGTAACATATAAACATTAAGTCTCTTTGTTTGAAAATTGAAGAGAGGTGAAAAACCTCATGCTGAGAAATCTGCTGAGATTAACATTTCTCCATTTACTGTATAACCCAACATTTATGATGGAAATCAGTTAGTACCAGAATGAAGTTGCAATGTTTAAAAGCTTGGATCCTTTACACTGTAAACAAATGTCAACTCACCTGCCCAGCATGAGATTCAGAACCTGGTCGACATCCAAATCCTCCATCAAAGTTCATACAGGATAAAACAAATTCTGCTGCTGATTCTAGGTTAATGGCATCGAGTCTCCCCTGGAAAACAACCAATTACTGGCATTACAGATCGGCTACACATTAAGGTTGATAGACGCAGGTTTTACAAACTCAAACAAGCAGTGAAAGTTTTCAAGTAAAAAATTCACGTGCCCTTCACTCTCACCGATTATCTATAAGGTCCCTCTCCTCCCAATTCTTCCTGAAGACACCTGCTTCTGCTCAGGGACAACTTCATTACCCCATTAGCACCTCACCCTTTACACAGTAGTTTAAAAGATGTCAGGTGTGTCTCAATTGGACAGTGCACTTACTTCTTAGTTAAAAGGCCCTTTCAGAGTGCTGGCACTGAGTGAGTGCTGTATTTAGCAGCTGTTTACCAACTTAAGAATCACAGACTCTCCCAAACCTTAGTTAATTATAAAAAACATTGTACGATTAGGACAGGTGATGACATAGTGGTGTAGTCATTCAACTCGCAATCCCAGTCCCAAGTTAATGCTCGGCGAAGATCGATTTGAATCCCACCATGGTGAATGGTGAAATTTGAATTCAATAAAAATCAGGAATAAATAAAGCAAGTAACCATGTAATCATTGTCGATTATCATAAAAACCCAGAAGATTCAATCATGTTCTTTAGGGAAGAAAATCTGCCGTGCTCACCTAATCTAGCATACACGCGACTCCAGAGAAATGGGTCTTATCGGCCCTCTGAAATGATCTACACAGCCAATTAATTTAAGGGCAATGAGAGAGTCTATAGGTGTGAGGCTGGAAAAGCACAGTAGGTTCTGGTTTTTTATGATAATCGATAATGATTTCATGTTTACTTGCT